CATGTCTGGGTGAATTTTGTGTATGTGTTGTGTGTGTGTGTGTGTGCGCGCGCGCGCGCGCGCGTTTGTGTGTGTGTGTGTGTACACTGGTGTGCGCATGTGTGCACATTCAAGTATGTGCATGCATATGGGTGTAGAGGCCAGAGTGCCACCTTGGGTGTCCTTACTGAAGAGTCATCTGCCCTTGTTTTGCATTTGTTCTTTTTTTATTATTTTAATTCCATTACCACAGCACACATGGTGAGGTCAGAGGACACCTACTGGAGTGGTTCTCCCACTCCATGTGGGTGCCAGGGATGCGCTCTAAGAGAGGAGCTTGGGAATGGCTACCTTTACCCTCTCAGCCACCTTGCTGCCGAGTGGGCATTTTTGGTTTTGTTTTATTTTACATGTATTTCTTTGGAGGAGGGTGCCATGGTGCTCCTGTGGAGGTCAGAGAATAACTTGTCGGTGTCCTTTTCTCCCTCTGTCATGTGGGTCTTATGGATGGAATTTAGGTCATCAGAATTTGTAGCAAGTGCCTTTATCCCCTGTGGCCCATCTTGTTTGTGTCTTTGTTTTGTTTGGTTGGTTGTTTTGTTGTTGTTGTTGTTGTAGCTCACCATGTAGACCTGGCTCCACCTACCCAGCCCTGGGATTACAAGCATTATACAATAATGACCTTTTTAAACAAGATCCTATGGACTGAATTAAAACCCTTGTGGTTGAAAATCAAGTTGAGCCATTACTCCAGGCCTGATTGCATTTTAAAATAATCTTTGTGATCCAAAAAATATTCTTCTATATTCATAACTTTAACAAAGGTAACCACCACTTGAAAATCTCCTCATCATTTCCTCTTACCTACAATGAAGACTTGGCATTGGCTGCCTTCTTCATTTTAGCTCGTTCCCCCCCTAAGTTTTCCCGTGTATTCTGTGTACATTGTTCTTGGACTCCGTCCCTTTCTCCCTTCCTTCCTCGTTGCTCTTATGAAATCTGATTTATCCTTCAAGGACAAAGGCTCATATCTCCCAGCAGCCTTCTCCTGGCATGCCAGAACACTGGACTCACACCTGTATCTCACTTACTCTCTACACATTTTTGTGATTGTCTACTTTGGGTCTTTTCCATCTACAACTCCTAAGTTGTCAGAGGTAGAGACTCTTAATAATTTGGCATGATCTTTGCAGTCCTTGGCGCTTTAGATTAAGAAAAGTTTGGAGTTGTCTGAAGTCTGACCCTGTGACAACTCACCCGTGTGGCTTACGATGCTCTTGTGTCTTCACTGAGTGATTCAAACATTTCAAAGAACATATATATTGGTGATTAATGTGCACATTCAAAAGAACGTCTTTGTATTTATTTCTTTTGCACTGAGCAGTAATCCTTCACTCACATATATAAAAATCTTGGCTTATATAAGAGTAAATTGATATAAATCTAAATCACTATCTAATAACATAGCTAGAAGGGCTTGAAGACACTAGTGAGGAACCCTGAGAGGCATAGCTGTGTAGCAAATATACACCCAACTCAGTTCACCAGGGAGTCCAAGTTCTGCTGTTTCTCCACAGAGTTCTCTTGTCCACCACAGGGTTGCTCACTTACCCACTTGATGTCAATTTTCTTGTCCATAAAATATGTTCACACGTCATACCGGGTATGTGAAGCAGGCACCTGGGAAAGGGTCGTGCAATCGAGAAATCATTGGATCACGGTGAATATTATACCACTGATATTCAGAGTTCTGAATGAAGAACCCAGAAAACAGTGGGAATCATCCCATCCCAGTGACCCTTCACACATTGTAAATTGTACATTTCTACCCTAAACTGTGCTATGAATTGCTCATTTGAAAATAAATAAGTTGGACATGGCTGTTCATTTTCCTTAAGATATCATGAGCCCTAATCTGTATTGCAAGTGGGAAATTATAGGGATAATTGTCTATCAGAGTAAAGGTAAAATACAGATTTCTTTCAGGATTGAACTCAGTGTCCTAGGCTACCTTCCCTGGGGTGAGAAACCTAAAGGATCTGTGGTTTCCCAGCATTCATCCCAGACGTGTTCCATTATTATACCCCGGGACAGGGGTGGGTAGGAGAGTCATGTAGACAAAATTCAAAATACTGTGAGATCATCTAGGTCCTTCCTCATGAGATGTAACTCTCAATTAACAGCGCAGTGTGGTCTCCAGCCTAACTGTGGTTCCCCTTGCGACTTGTCAGCTTTATGTATTGTGAAAGTAGTCTCCATTCCACAGAAAGCACACAAATCTGAGGTGGGTTTTTTTTTTATTGTTTTTTGTTCTGTTTTTTTGTTGTTATTGTTTTGTGATACTCCCAAGCTAATGATGATATTTAGTATAATGTCCTCTCAAGATGCTGAGCAATGGTGCTGGGCTACATGTGCTGGGGCCACATGTCACCTGACAGAACAGTGCTCATAGCGCTTTGTTATGTTGCAATGACCAATATGTGAGGTGCATCAGGGGTTCCTTTGGCTTATAATGTTTTCAACTTACAGTGAGTTTATAGGGACATATGAGCATGATAAATCTAATAACATCAATATACAAAAAGTAGAATTTAAATGGAAAAGAGCCCTTGTAAACTCGGCAAGCCAAGTAGGCAAGGATATTTGAAGAATGGAAAGGGTGATGCTTTTGAAAAACATCTATGAAATACTGACAGAGTACTTTGAAATTAGTCTTTTTGAAATGTAAATGCTAAGGGTAGACATTTCTACCTTAGTTTTGTGGGAGATGGATTTAGTTTCTTACCTCTTGTTTATTTAAAAAAAATCAGATACATAGGCTGAGGCAATAATGAATTGTGTCCTTTGGAAGCAAGATAATCATGTGCTCTTTAGTAACTGTTGAGTGAATGAAAAGAGCTAGCATTAGCGCTGATAGCAGTGGCAGTTGGGGCTTCTCCCATACCTCTCTGTTGGAAGCCATGTGCAACACGTGGTTGGGGGAAGAGGTGCTTGGGTACAATTTGCACTTAGATGCCAGCAGCATCTCGACTCAGCCTCCCCTTTTATCGCACACCTGAAGGAAAGCAGTTCCTCCCGTTCCGTCTCTGCTGTCTTTCTTGCCTCCTGAAATAGAGAGCCCTTCCTCACAGCGTTCTGAAACTGTCCAGTCCTATGTCCCCGCGGTGCCGGGTGTCTCACTGTGCGTCTCATCAAGACTGCGGGGATCTGAACTTACCCAAAGTTCATAGGCTTGCCAAAGAACTCCAAGTCAGGTCGGCTCTCTATCCCCATTCTTAGAGTTATCCGTGGTCTCAACCATAGGCTTCGGACTTAAAGAGAAGCCCCAGATACCTCAGTGTCACAAGACAGCACTCAGGTGAAGCTCACTGTCTGTCCTCTTCACTCACAGGGCCATTTGTTCCTACTCACTCACCCATTACTTCTCAGCTCTGACCTTTTGTTACTCTTGGAATCCTCCACTTGGCATGGATTATATAGAAACTTACTCCAGCAGTTTAGGAGTAAACAGCATATCTTTATCATTTGAAGTTATTGTGGTTTTTTAAAAAAGCCCCACTTCATGAATTTCAAAAGTAGCATTTACATAACATAAAATAAAGTCACCAGCTTTCTTACCCAGCCATGCACCCTGAACTTCAGAAATGACTGGTGTGATCAGATACATCCATGGCATCAGTGTTATGGGGGTGAACAAGTGTCTTTGGTTGAATTTAAGGCCCTCTGCACAGTACAGAATCATGGCCAGTACTATAAATCTGGCCAATAAAATAATACTGTTATTTTACTCAATGGACATAGTGTTAAACTTTCCTCTAAAGTTACATCTCTTTACCCATACATTGCTACGGTTCTCAGACATTGACAGTGACATTTATTTGTGCAGTGGATAGTGGTTAACACAGAATTCACAGCTGGTGACATTGTAGAGGATATGACTATAGAGCAGTGGTTCTCCAAACTGGGAAAATAGTAAAAAACAGAGAAAAGAGTAAAACACTGTCACTGAAGTCTTATTCGTGTTGAGAATGCTTCTGTGCCTTAGATATCACTCAACTAAGTAAAGCTGTGTTAGGCATGATAACGTCTATAAAGAGATGTGTGCGTTACAGGATTTTATGCCTGATAAGTCCTTAGGTCAAGTGAAGATGTTGGGGGAATGAATACCCAGCTTTCAGCTTTGTAAGATTTACTCTTAAATGATTCTGAAGACAGAAACTCTCACGCACCTGTTGCAAGAGTGCGTCCACCTCAGGCAAGCACACACTCCATCCGTCTCTCTCCCCCTTGACAGTGGCCAGTGCTATCCTCGTGTCTGAACAGTTAATAACAGCATTTTTATCTTTATAATTTCCTGGTTAAAGATACGGGGGTGCTGTTGACAATGGTAAGTTGAAATGTAGGAAAGGGAAATCCCTAGTGAGCTCCCTTTCGTGTCTATGGCACGAAAATGTTGCTGAGCTTCCTTAGCTGGACCGTGATAGAAGTGTGTTCTGGCTAGGCGTGGTGAAAGCTATAGGATATACATTTATTTGAAGAGAAAACACAATGGCTGGGAGCTTTTTATTGTACCTGAGGTTTCTTCACCTAGGTATAACAAGTCTTTTCTATTTTTTCTCTTCTCTCTGAATCCTCTCCTAGGGAGCTTCCTTTAACCCCTGACAGTGCGCGCTCTCCAGAGGAGTTCTCTTTATTGAGGTGCCTGTAGACTTTTCTCTAGGCTGTATAGTCTTTATTGGTCACCTTCCTAATTACTACAGTAACAATGGCAACTACTTAGCAGTTATTGAAAATTTAGATTCCTGCTACTGGGAACACAGATTCTAAAGTATGAGAGACTCATCTAGAAAAGGCAAGTGAATCAAGTGGAAGGTCAAAGGTCAGACACTGGATAAGTAGTCAATCTTAGTGCCCGACACAGGTCTACAAATGGATGGACCTGTGCTGCTTCCTCCCCACTTAAGCAGATTGCTGTAGTGTATGTTTAGACCAACTTTAAATGGTTATGTGTTTTCTTCCAGGCTGGACACCCTGGGCCTATGGGGGCTCCTTCTGTTCCCCCATCATTCCGGCCAGAAGATGAGCTGGAGCACCTGACCAAGAAGATGCTGTATGACATGGAAAATCCCCCTTCTGATGAGTACTTTGGTGAGTGGGGCTGGAGCTGATTTTCAAATTAAATGTCGTGTTCTGTTTTCCCTACTTAGGAATGGGGGTTATTATCAGCTGCCCTGGTGCAGTGTTTGCATCCATTGCAGGAGAGGTGGTGTGTGTGCACGCAGTACCATGCATTTCTGACTAGACCACCATGGATAGGAATACAGTGAGCTTGTACTAAAACCTCAGGGGGTCTTAGAGTTATTTGATATGCAAAATCACGACACACTTTGGACAGTTTATTACCTTTGCATGAGGCAAAGATAGATCATCTTTGTGCATGTAACTCCAAATATTTATGAATAAAACCTGGAATCTGATATGACTTAACTGTTTTCTCCAGTCTTACCTTGACTGAATTCAGGAGGAAAAAATACTTTTCTGTTTGTTGCTTCTTCCCTTTTTAAAACTACGAGTAACTGTGAACAGTTAATGTTATTCTTCCCAGTCCGTTAGTATAAGTCGGTGGTCTGTGTCATTTGTGAGCTGCTGTGGACACAGCTTGTCAAGGGAGCTATAATGCGGAAGGGATGAGACAAACAGGCAGATAATGGCGAGTGTGTAGAGGGAAAGGCGGAGTCCTAGGAACTCCTGTGAACGCTGTGAAGAACCGGAAGTCACCCTTGAACCCAAACCCTCTAAATCAATCTAAATGTAGAGATTGTTGGCTATTCAGATCTCATTGTTTTTAAAAACTGTTATTTTTGTAGCATGTAAGTAAATTAATTCTGGGAAAATAAATTTCAAACTGCAACTTATTAAAAACTGTGAAATAAGAGATGAAGTTTTATCATTACATTTAAGAGATACTAAGTTACCCCATTTGAGTTGGTATAATAGTTTCTAAACATTCTTTCTCTGCTGTGTGTTGGTCTCATCATATGCTTTGTGAGTTGGTTCTTGAAGGATGTGTAGAGAAAGGTCATGTGGGTCACAGTAGTGAGTAAAGGCTCCAGGCTTGAGAACTGAACAGGCTTTTGCATCCCCATGTATTTCCTATCTTCGTGACTTCTCTGATGCACAGTGAAAGGCAAACTGAGGCCACTGGCCCAAAGCTGAGAGTGTGTGGAGTTGGTGTTACTGCTGGATGCAAGGCATACACCTCGTGTACACAGATATCACTGTAATTCAGCTCAAAGGCTGTGAGGTGGGGATAAAGAGCTCTGATTCTGGAGCCAGGGAGATGGCTCGGCTGCTGTTCTGGTCTGCTTTTCTGTTACTGTGATAAGCGGCATGACCAAAAGCAACTTGGGGAGGAAATGGTTTATTCCCTTGTGCTCAATTACAGGCCATCATTGAGGGAAGTCAGGGCAAGAACTCAAAGCAGAGACCATGAAGGAATGCTACTTACTGGCTTGCTCCCGGGCTTGCGGCCACCTTTCTTATACAAGCCAAGCCTATCTGCCTAGAGATGGCATCACCAATAGGGGTCTAAGCTCTTCTAGGTCAACTAGCAGCCAAGAAAATTACCCACTGTGACACACAGGCCAATCTGATGGGAGGCAATTCTTCAATGATGGTTCCTTCTTCCCTGGTGGGTCAAGTTGACAAGATGACCACAGGTTAAAGGTATATGGCACCAAGCCTGGTAACCATTTAATCCCTAAAACCTACATCATGGAACAGAACTGACTGTTGCAAACTGTCCTCTAACCTACACACACACACACACACACACACACACACACACACACACACACAAACTTACTGTGACTCACAGATGTCCCAGGCCCATTCTCTGCACCTCTGCACACACTAAATAAGCAATTAAATGTTAAAAAACAATTTTTAAATAAGTCTTATTCTGGTCCCTGCTGTGCCCCGGACCAGCTAAGTATTACTAGCAGGTCCCTCTATTGCCTAAGCCAAGTTTCCCACCTTGGTGATTAAAGATGTGGAACAAAATGGTCCCTTGCATTTCTTGCAACACCAGCAAATTCACTGTGGAAACAGCATCAAGCCAATGAAATCAAACGGTGAGGCTAAACATAAGATTATGGGAATTGGCACAAAGGCATGGAAAATAGTAAGACAGAAACAGATATATGCTTATATCAGAGTATAGTAAAAGTTTATTGCACTGTCCTCACTGTAATAGGAGGAGGGTGTATATTAGAATCCATGATACACTGAAAAAATGTTAATGATTAAAAGTAAGCTGTCTATAATTAAAAGTGAAAAGCTAAATTCTGAATGTGTGTGTGCTTCAGATATTGTACAACAGTACATGCAGTGATAAAGTAAACTGAGCAACTATAATGGGTAAATGTTACACACTCAGAAAGCAGATACACATGATCTTAGAACTATCTTAGCTCTACTACATACTAGCTTCGAAGACTTGCGCAAACTGTTCCCTCAGCCTTCTCTGGTGCTGTTTCATCTACAGTGTGGAGACAATAGCTACCTTATACTGTGATTGTGAGCAGTGCATGAAATATTTATAGAGCACACTCAGCCAAGTTCTTGGCATGTAGAATATGTTCGATAATCAGAGTTCACCAAAGCTCCAGAGACGTGCAGCTTATTTAAGAAAGTAAGATATCCCTATTAAAAATTCATCAATAACACTTGATTTAAATTTAGGTTCTAGCAACAGTAAAAGGTGTGTCACCAACAGTCAATGTAATCACTGCCAAGTGGAGGTTGCTACCCTTCAGAGAGAACTGGGGAAGGTCTTGGTTTTACTGCGTGTTTATGATATGGCAGTTCTAGTTTATGAACTTCAGAAATTAGCTTATTTTATCCTTGTGCAAGAATGTAATCCTGCAAAGGAGATGTCACTATCATGTTCGCCATTGGAGAATTAAGGTCCAGGAATGTTAAGTGTTTTGCCCAGTGTCAACAAATAATGGGCCGTAGAGCTGGATTTCGAGCTGTACACCAAGTCTATGTCCTTGAACATCAGGCCCTCAGATGGAGGGAATTAAATCGTAAACTCGGGGAATGGGGTTTAGTGGGGAGATTGCCTTTGGAGAGATGGGCAATGAAGGATGAGGATTCTCTCCTAAATAGATAAAGTAAACAAACTGTAAATGGTGCCAAGATTGTTGAACGATAACAGACATTATGTGGAAAACCTGGATCTTTGCAGGCTAATCTGGTGGTGTTTCCACAGGCATTGGGTTTTCCCTCTGAAAGTGCTTATGTCCCAGAGGGGCCAATGAAAAATTATGATGTGTTATTGCAGCCAGAACACAAAGTGATATGTGGCTTAATCTACATGCAGCCACCATTCTGAGAAATTTCAGGAAAAGAAGGAATATCGAGAGGCAGCAATAGAAAAGTAATTATGTAATCATTAAGCTTTGGGTGAGTCTTTACACTTAGTTTAATTAAACTTCAGAAATAGGAAGCTCCTAGAGAAGTGGGAAGATTTCTGATGAGGAAACTTTTCACGTGAAAAGGGAAAAATGGAATTGAAGCCCCCATGTGGAATTGGCAAATATTAGCAACGGGTTGGAGGGGTCAGTTGGGACAAGTCTTTAAAAGGTTTCTAAGCCCTCACTGAGGCCTTTGAACTTCACCTTCTCTAATGAGTAGCCTGTTGAGATCTAGTGTCAAGGAGATGGTTCCATGGAAAGTGCTCACAAGCACAGCCTCAGAGCCTAGTTGGAGTGCCATCTTGGCTTAAGTTGCTTAGCAACATAAAGTCAGGAGCAAACGTACTTGTTACGGGCCTGCCTTGACTATCCACTCTTTAAACATGTCCCATCACCTTCTCTGCTGCAGAGAAGCTGTGCCATCAATGGGCACAGACAGGAGCAGCCTGGGGATTTCAGTACAGATGTCCGGACAATGGTCCTGTGTGAGGGAAAGAAGAGAGGGTCCATATGTCCGCCTGAAGACCGAAGAGGAAAAGTGAATTAGCACTGTTTGGCCAACGGAAGTAGATAAAATTCTCACTTGCTCTCTATCCAGAAAGAGTTGAGAGGACCAGAAGGCATTTGGAGATTGGAAAAAATTCTATGAACCATCGTTTCACCTGAGCTTTGACTCAAGGTCTTATCCCTTGGAATTATCTCTTTGGTGGAAAACTAGAAGGGTGCCTTTACATTTGAAGGGAGCCTCAGCTCTAGTGGCAGATGCTTAAAGTGACCAGGGGGTAAAGAACTAGAAATCATTCTAATTTACGAAGAATTCAAAACTTAAAGAGAACTTTAAAATTAGATATAAAATGACGGAGGGCAAATCGCTAGAAAACTGAGCGGCTAGCGTGACTACTGAGCAGCTCAGGCCTTACCCTTTTTGAGTCGTTTCCAAGGAAAATATAAAGGAAAAGTTGAACTGTAAACCATCTTGGAATGGCTTTTTGAAGATATCTGAGAGTTTTCTGTGTTGACTGAGATCCCAGACTCCCAAGATTTCCATTTTCATCCAGTTTGAAGAAGGCAGGGGCATCTGTGTCCATCTCTGGTGCATTCGTGGGCTTTTTGGAGCCCAGTGCCATAGGTATGACACCTTGTGCAGCCTTGGTGCAGCGGGGAGGGGCTTGGACCTGCCTCAACTGAATGTACCAGGCTCTGCAGACTCCCCATGGGAGACCTTGACTTGGAGGAAATAGGAATGGGGGGAGGGGTTGGGGAAGAAGGCTGGGGGGCAGGCAGGCGGAATCTGTAGTTGGTTGTAAAATGAATAGAACGTTTCTTTATAATAAAAAGTAAGGAAGCATAATTGCCCAGGAGACAGTTCATGAGAGAGACTGTAGCACAATTCCAAAGACAGTCTTCTGCCTGAGCTGCTCCTAGGACTGCAGACAAAACTGTTGGGTGCCCAGTCTCTGAAAGTGGATGTTGTACTGGATCTGAGGGGAGCCTGAAAATATCCTACAGTATATGTTCAAGCCTGCAATATAATTATCTTGGCATTGTTTATATGCTATTGTCTTAATTAAAAAAAAAAAACTAATGTGTGTGAATTTCAAAGTTGTTTCCCAGGCTGTTTGAAGAATCGCTATGTCTTCAGAGCAGTACCAGGTAAACTCTTTCTGA